CCCCAAAACCCCAAAACCCCAAAACCCCAAAACCCCAAAACCCCGCAACAGTGATAATATATAGAAATTACAGATCTTAGCAAATTAACTTTATCATCTTAAGAGTAGGAACCATGAGACAGGGCCATCTGTGGTTGTCTTCTAGAGAGATCCTTCTTCCATTCCTTCATAGCCTGAGTTCTTGCAAACTTAGCGATTTTCCTATCCATTCTTTCATTTTCTATACTCTGTCTGAGCATTTGGAGTTGCTCTTGGTACCTATCTCTCATTACGTTCTTGGTCTTTTTCCTTCTGACCTTCTTCATCTTACGCATTTCAGCAAGTCTACGCTTCTCTTCTTGGAGCCTATTTCTTTCGATCTCATTAGCCAGCATGTAGATCTTCTTAACGAGTTTTACTTGTTTGACATCCCTCTTGATCTTCTGCTTGAGCTCGAGTCCCCTCTTATAGGAAACCATGTTATTCACATTGTGGGTTCTTGAGTTTCCATACATGTTGGCAAAGGACCTTCTTCTGTTCTTCGACTTCTTTGCCTTCTTCTTCCTTCTCTCTTTTCTGTTGATCTCGTTGACGTAGTCTTTTAGCATTCCGTTGAGATTCTCTTGATTATTTCCTTGGTTAGGCATGTACATGTTTGGATTTTGATAGTACATTTGGCCATTCTCATCTTGTTGGTAAGCAGCCATTTGCTCTTCAGCAGCTTTTTGTTGGTAGAAAGCAACCTCTTCAGGACTCATATTTGCAAGCATTTGTTGATTCTCATCATCAAAGTTGCCATCCTGCATATTTTGCTGCATCATTGCTTTGTTGTCTTCTCCTGACTCCTCGGTTGGTCTTTCATGATTCCTGTCTTCATCGTGTTCTTCTGGGTGGGGTTTCATCGGACTTTCTTCCATTTCCTCCTCTTCAATCTTGTCAACACCATACATTTCTTCTTGTTGTGCTTCCCCTTCCTGCATCTGTTGCATCTGCTGTTGCTGGATGAACTGTTGCTGGAGTTCTGGATTTTGTTGAAGCATCATTAAGAAAGCAGTCTGGTCATCCATTTGTTGAGCCTTCTTCTTAGTCCTCTTATTTTTCCTTTTAGAGCCTCTTCTCTTTGCAGAAGATCTCCTTTTTGCTTTTCTCTTCACTGATTGTCCCTGCATTTGCTCCATATAAGCTTGTTGCTGAAGAGCTTCAACTTGCTGAGGAGAAAGATGTCCAACGACGTTTCCATCTTCATCAACTTGTTGAATCCCTTCCTGCATTGCTTCTTGCTGCTTTTGAAGGAAGAATTGTTGTTGTAACTCAATAAGTTGTTCCTCTGTCAGCTCAATTTGGTTACCATTTTCATCCTGCAAGTTTTCAATATACTGCTGGAACTCTGCCATATCCTCATCAGAAGGCTCGTAGTTTTGCATTTGCTGTGCCATTGCAAGTTGTTGTTGCTGTTGCAACCATTCAGCTTGCATTCTCTCCTGCATCCTTCTCTTTTTAGATTTGCCTTTACTCTTCTTTCTATGCTTAGCAGTTCCTGGCCTTTTCATTGATTTAGAGGTCATTCTACTTCTACTTGGATTAAATCCTTGTTTGGCAGTAGAAGGCCTCTTCTTTTTCTTTAGCTTCTTTGCCCTCTTTGGCTTTTTCATCCCCATTGCAGCCATTTGCTGTTGCTGGAGCATTTGTTGTTGTAAGGCATTATAATACTCTGGGTCCATTTCTTCCTGTTGGTCTTCCCCTTCACCTTCCATCTGCTGTTGTGCCATTTGTTGCTGAATGGCCATTATCATCTCGTTCTGTTGTTCTGGGGATAACTTGTTGAACTCTTCCTCATCAATAGGAATAGGGAATTGCTCTTCCTCGCCTTCTCCCTCATTTTCTTCAAGTTCTTGTTCTTGGTGATCCTCTTCTTTGTCCATGTCCTGGTCGTGGTGGTCATCTTCATCATCCATATCTTGTTTCAACTCTTCGTGCTGTTCCTCTCTTTCAGCTTCAGCCTCATGTTGTTGGTTAATAATATCTTTCATATATTCTTCATCATCATCTTCCTCTTCCATTTTTAAATTTTTATTTGAAGTTTGAGGCTCTTCATCGTCAGATTCATCTTGCAGAAGTCGAGGCTTTGCTTTGATTTCTGAGTTCTTTTCGACACTGCTCTTCTTTTTACCAGAACTAGCACCTCTCATGTCATCAAAGTCATCTTCTTCATCTAATTCACCTTCCATGTCTGCCTTTTGATACAATTTCATCATTTCATATTCAAGTAGTTCTCGCTGTTCTGGAGGGAAGGAGTCAGGATCTTTCTGATATTCTTCAAATAAGTGTTGCAGGACAATGTATTTCTGCTCTTCATCAAGATCTTCAAGATCATTGATCTCTAGCATATCATCCTCATCCTCAAGGAGGTCGCCACCTTTAAAACTGCCGCCTCCACCAAGACTATCAGCTCTGGCTCTCTTATCTTTCTTTCTACCAAAATCAGCATCATCAGGAAGAAGAGGGTCATGCATGACATCCACATTTCCCTTCTTGCCCTTCTTTTCACTTTCTTTCTTCTTTGACTCAGAATCTCTAGCTCCTTTGTTAATTTTCTCAGTTGGAGAGTCGTCTACCTTTTTCAGAGCCTGCTTGAGCATCAGAGCTTCTTCGTCTTCTTCATCATCAATGATTTGCTTATGATCTGGCTGGTCTTGTCCATAGAAGTCAAGATCTGAGAATCTGTTATCATCTTCTATTTCATCGGCTTTCATTTGGTTTCTATGGCCACTTCCTTCCCGAGAGATATGCTCGTTGTCGTCGCCCTCATCGACAAATCCATTTTTCCTAAGATCGTTTTTATAATCATTTTCCAAATCTGTGAGTCTTTTCTCGTCTCCATGATTGGCTTCGTCAAACATTTCATCTTTGATAGGATCGTCTCCGTCAACATCAGGGGAGTTCAGACCTAGGTCAGCTGCGATCTTCTGGGTGTCGGTCTCGTCTTTATTATTATCGTCATTATCGAGCTCTCCGAGACTATTGTCGTCGCTAAGGCCGACTCTGTCTTGACGGCCTGAACTGGCTCTCTTGGCTGAACTTCCACGGTTTTTCTTGTCGATGGAGTCGAGTTCTTCTTCGGACTCTTCTCCTTCAGCCTGGTTCTGAACCATCAAGAACACAACTTGCAATAGGACTTGCAGGAACTCGTCGATGTGGACCAAATCTCCTGCCACAATACCGGAGGCTTTAATGTCGCTTAAATCTGTTTCCAATAAATTCTTCTCAAGCAGAGATATCAGCTGGGTGATATTCTCAGCCATTTCTTCTTCATTCTTGCCTGGCTCGATCTCTTCGAAATCAAATTGAGGGAACAGAGCCTGGAATATTTGCAAATACAGCGAGTCCGACTGGAACGGCTCGATGTCGGTGATCTGCTCGTCGGCTCCCAAGACTTCGAGAACCTTATTACCGAGCTCGAGAACCTTGGCCTCGGCTATTGTGGGTTAGCTAGAGTACTTACTGACTTCTTCATCATCCATAAAGTTAGGGTCATCCATTTTTAAATATAGTTGAATTCAAATATTTTGAACGAAGACGGGGTTTTGGGGTTTTGGGGTTTTGGGGTTTTGGGGTTTTGGGGTTTTGGGGTTTTGGGG